TCACACTTAACCTAATACAATTTTGTTTATGAACGAGTATGCAGGATACAATAGGTTTTCTGAGCCTCTGTGAGAATGCGAGATTGTCATTAAGCTGACTGGCTTGCAAATACAGATGACAGGTGTTATACTACGTTGGTGGGAAAATCATTACAGTCCATTCAATGGCGTGTTGACATTTTTATCTTGCGAGTGCTATTTTTTTTAATTCATTCAAACAATTTTATATTTGATAAATCGATACCTATTCATATTGCACATTACTGAAAGATACATTTACTATGTATTTTGCAGTATTTTTTTCAGCAAACAATATGAGTAAAAATGCTGTTGATCAATGTTACACTAATTAAATGAAGGAAATACGTACTACATAATTATATATATAAATGATGTCATTATGCATTTTATATATAGCTATACACTGTGAATGTGGACGTGATAAAATAAATAACATATTTTTATTTAAGCAATAACACGATTTGTTGTTTTTTCCATGGTTGTTGTCATGGCAACTGTCTTGAGCAGGCAACAAATCGTGATATTGCCCCGACAAACATGTGTTTTTATTTAAATAGTGCCTGTATCACTTAAGAGAGATACTGCAACTACTCTTCACAGCTCTTTCTCTCGAGGTATAAGTAGTGTGAAGTGTCCAATTTATTTTTGTAAATGCACTGAGCTACCATGCCCTTCGGTTTTCAGTCACCTTTGACATTTGTCAAACAGGGAGTTTCCTCGGTTAACATAGTTCAGCCAATCAGTTTTTATTTTGCACTCGGCGCGTAGCTTCACTTCTTTTCCTAGAATTTCTTTGATTCCCATTCATTCATAGTTTGTTGATACATTAGGTAAACTGATAGGAGCTTGTCAGCTATAGTTACATTTCACACAACATGTGAACTTTAAGACACGACCAAAACAATGTTTAAATATGTCAACGCACCTACAATTTAAAAGTACAAAACATCTATGTAATTTAGTGTTTTACATGGCACTCGATCCATTTAAATTTGATATGGCAACTGACAGGCTTGTCCTACATCTCTAACCAACCTCAACATATGCTCGGAAGGCGTGGTGATGGGGTGGGTGCCTCAAATTTGCGTTTGTTTTGGCATCGAACATATTTGTATTGTATTATATATTGTATTTATTTGTATGTATTTATTTACACCAGAAAAAGAAAATATACATAACACAATTAATTTTTCCTTTTTACCACTGCAAAGGATTCTGGTGTGGGTCATGGAAATAGCTCATTTGAGCTAGTCGAGTCCTAGACCCGGAATAAGAAATAATATTGTACTGACGTGCGGATTATCATAAATTTATCATATACATATATTTTATACTACCAGTCAATTAGTCAGTTTGTCAATCAGTTAATCAGTCAGTCTGTTGTAGTGAGTTGTCAGCCAATAGTCGTATAATTAATCTGAATATTCAAATATAAGTTCAGCTTTCAGACAATTTTAAAAAAATATCTACTAATATTGGCATTTTGTAGTTCTGGTTCTCGTGAATTCCAATGCTTAATTGATGCAAACTTTATGTTATGATTGCAGCGCGCGACCTTTGACCTTCCATCACAATAACAGTAGGTCGCAAGCACTGTCAGCTGGCATCTGCATCATTGAGTACTTTTTTTTTCTCTTTACACAATTTTATTTCATTGAGTACTAAAATGGGAAGATTTGCAACAGGGTTTTTCCCGATTTTAAACCACTGATACTTTATATATATATACTCTTGCGATGAAAAAAAAAACTAAATCACCAAAACATGTTTTTAAGGCTTTTAAATTGGACGTCTTTCACAGAAAGCATGCGTAATATAAATCAGATTGTTTAACAGAGAAATGAAATCAAATAACATGAATTCACTAATTACACTTGTTTCACAAAGAACTCGTATAACATAAATCGGATTTGTTTTACAGAGAACTCGGGTAACGTAACTCAGACTTGTTTTACAGAGAACTTACGTAACATAAATTACTAGTACGCTTCTTTTGTTTCATCGAGAACTCAAATAACATAAATTACGTTACGTAAATCAAACTTATTTAACAAATATCTTAATTAACATAAATTAAATAAACTTGTTCCAGGTGGAACTCGGGTAACGTAACGTAAATCAAAATTGTTTAACGAAAAACAGATTTGTTCCACAGAGAACTCTTGGAACATAAATCAAACTTGCTAAAGTGCGAGCTCGTTTAACATAAATCATAATTGTTTCACAGAAAATTTCGGTAACCTTAATTCACATAACAACTCGGGTAACATCAATTAGAAATGTTCCACGAGAGACCGGGTAACATCAATCATACATCAATCAGATATATTGGTTTATCAGAAAACTCGGGTAACATAAATTACACTTGTTTCACATAACAACTCGGGTAACATCAATTAGAAATGTTTCACGAGAGACCGGGTAACATCAATCAGACATCAATCAGATTTATCTAATAGAGAACTCAGGCAACGTAACGTAAATCAAACTTCTTTAATAAAAAAAATCGTAAAATCGATAAGACTTGTTTCACAGAGAACTCGGGTAACATCAATCAGATTTGTTTTACAAAGAACTCGCGTAACGTAAATCAAACATGTTTAACAGGGAACATTGGTAACATTATTTAGACTCGTTTCACATAACTCTATTAAAACCAATCAGACATGAATCAGACTTGTTCACAGAGAACTCAAATAACAGAAATCAGACCTATCTCACATATAACTCGGTTTACATACCTGATACCTGAATACCTGATACAATTGAAACAGTGCGTCCAGATAACAGCATGCTCGAATATCGCAAAAACGTGTCGCGTGGGAATAATATAAAAAACTGCCTGGTATAGAACTGTGCCAAGACAATGATGTACACAGCAAGCAAAACAATATTGATTGTGGAAGTATGGAAACCGTGGACTCAATTACTGAAATTACTGGCAATGCGGTCGGTAGTACATCGCAGGAACGATCGTGTCCAACTAATTAATTAGTATTAATTGAACACAGCACACTAAGGGATTGATGTATCCAAGTTAAAGAATTTGGCACGTTCGGAGCGTCAAATCCAAATCGGTGTTGTTCGACATTTATTTGACATCGGTGATATTTTGATGATCATCGGCATTTGTCATGACAAGAGATTTATCTGTTATATTTTCAATTCTAGCGGTGAGTGTAATGGTGAATTATTGAGCTCTAAATAGTAGAATGCACTTAGATTGGCGATATTGGATACATTTGTCAAGGTGACCAGTATTCCCTTGTTATCAGCGTGTTAGACAGCTGATGGAATGGACTTGCAGTTGCCATAGAAACTGAATCCGGAGTTTTATAATGGGTATTACTGAGACTATGCATTTTATGACATTACGTTGCATTACATTACTCTATGTTACAGCTGCAATGAACTATTATTCATACACTTAATTTGCATGCGATTCACCAGGCAGCGATAAACACGTGAGTGTTTATTTCTTTGTTTACCATTTATGATAGATTAAATATTTGACTGTAATGAATGAATAACAGAGGAATTACTTTTTTGATTACGAGGGACAATCCTCAGATATTTCGGATTTATAAAATTGTATACGCTAGTTTATTTCATCATACAACCTGTATGAGAAAATATTGAGAAATTATACATTAATATGACTTCCTAGTTAGATATTAAGAATATAGATTCAGTCCATCCAGGTTTACTCATTATTTTATTCATTTCTCGCATGCGTTAACTGTCGTCATAATATTTAGTGGAGACACGCTGATAGATTTACAATAACAGTGAACAGATCATATTAACTTATAGTCGATTCAATTTCATATATCGACTAAATGTCAAATATAGTGCATTTCCCACCTTGAAATGGGAGATGTGTTTGCTTTCATTGAACGAATTATTCAATTATTAATTTCTACTGACATCACACTTATTCTGTTGCGCTACGCCATATAATGCAGATGATTCAAACATATATAATTATATGTTAATTATATATATCCATGTTAGTTCATATAACCATGCATTTCGGGAGGGGATTACACAGAGAAATGGTTAAGCTGAGCACGTACACTATTTGGATAAAAATCAATATGCCACCAAATATGTACAACTCATTTTTGCGATGGAAGTATTGGAATAAAATCTAATCTAATAAACAAATTAAGGTTTGAATTATGCTTCCAGGGAAAACTTTCTAAAATGAATATCAGAGCGATTGAGCCAAATCGAATTTTAGTTTCATGAATGTGTTTTACTCTATTTAGTGCGGGAAACAATGTCGGTGCATTTGTTTATGCAATTAATTTTAATTGTCATTCTGAATCTGTAGAACTTACAGTCATTTGTTTCTATAATTATTATAACACAATCTAGATGATTGAACAGTGAACAAATTCGCAGTAAAATTGTTTTCAAGGTGACGAACACCAAGGATAGTGACTGGTTATCTGATTTGTTGTTCGGATAACAAAGGTTCCACTATTTGTGTAAATGTCGTTGGTGTGGTGCTATGTAATTACTAACCATGCAAAATAAATCATTGTACGACGTAAACTGAGTTTGACATTCTACAATGCAATTGTTACAGGGTCAGCCATGAATCTCCCTATGTATGAAGACTGATTTACTGGCAAAAGAAAATATATTACTTTTTCATTACATTCAAATAACCATAGCCCGAAGATAACAACACAGAGGGAAACTCAATTACGTGGAATGCACAGCTTACTATGTAACGTGTATGCACCTATATTGAATAGCTGTGAGACTTTATGGGGGTTGCCATTGGACATTCGGATAATTGATCCACCATTTTGCTTGCTACAATACAATGCAGCTTCGACGTCATTAGAAAGCACGCCATCAATTCCGAGTAGGATTTCAGTCCGTTCACAGACACACACACACACATACACATGAGGAGAGCAGAAGAACAGTGGAAAGCTACCTGAGTGCTGTGCACCGTAACTTACCTACTTGCATCGTTTGCTGGTCTTACGTTTAATCTTTTACTCTGCGGATAGTGGCTGTACACGAACCAACTCGGCTGACATGTCGCCCAATTTGCATCCCACTGTGCCCATGGCCGTGACTGACAAGACATCGGAAGAGGATAAACTGAATGACGCCCCACAGGAGGCGGAGATGGAAACCTGTGAGTATTCAATTTTATTGTATGATATATCCCTGCTCTATCTGTATCTAAAAGAACTATCAAGACTTGCGGTCGTAATTTAGTATGGTCGCACTTTAGTATACTAATGCTTACGTTGAACATATCCGTTTCGTTCAATCCAATTAACCGGGCTGTACAAAAGTACATATACACGACGGAGGGTATTTTTTCACACAGATGACTTGTTTGTTCAATTACGTCTTAAGCGATACCTAGACTTTGTCATTATATTGCGAATATAATCCAGTGAAGCAAATTAAAGTTGACGTTTAATTTTCATAGCAGGTACATTTCCAATTATATTTCTAGCTACAGGGCACAGTGCACATCAATAATTGCTCGAATTTCAGGTAATCTTCAAAAATGAGAGTTGCTAATAAGATATGCTACACACTGTTCACGTCTCACTGAACGAAAAGGCGAAAGCTGCACGAACGCCACACTCAATACAATTCAAGAACAGACAAAAAACAAACATGACAGCTTTTATTTTATTTCGTGATAATACATTGCTGATTACCTCCGATCTACGTACGTGGACGGCGTGTCATTCGACATACAAGTCTATTTCAGCGCTTGAGTGCCAGAGTTTGACACCAATTGCCCTGGCTTGGTTCAGTACATAGGTTAGATATGATTTGTTTATGTGATCAAAAGCGTTATTAGCATTCACCCCCTTGCGTGTTTGCGGGAATATTAAATATGAACACATGCAACAGTGGTTTAACCCTTTTCCCATGTTGAACACTATACGTAACATGGCGAACTCAATGTGTGGATGGGGTATTGTATTTAATTCAAGGTGCAAACACAACGCACAGCAATGACTTTCTTCATCTCGATCGATATATGTGTAGTTATTTCAGATCAACTAGTTTTTTTAATAGTTTCGATATTTCAAAATTTGCTATATATTCAAAATATGTTCACTAACAACTGACAATATAAAATACGGTCTGTATATGAGTCGAATTATGAGAGATGTATTTGTTACAATGTACATCGAAGCCCGTAAATGCGTAGGATTATTACATACGCCGATTACTGTGCAGAATAAACGACACAACACCTACTAATCACAATCAATGCATCAGTGTGAGGAATCTACTTTACTAGCCAGGTAATTAGTCACGTTTGAATCAGTACAGATCATTATAAAAAGTGTAATTTTCAAATCTATACATATTTCTCAGTAATCATATATTCAATTTTGTAAAATAAACAGTCCACATCGAGGGATAAATTAAGTTTATTATTGATATTTGTCCGATTTCAATATCAAATGTCATTTACAGCGGTCACGTATTGTTCTTATGGGACCATGACTTCGTGAGCAATAGTTTGTAGCAGTATTCCCGTTTGATCAAGAAACTCATATGTCAATGTATTCCCAAGCTTATTGGGCCGTTGGCGTGAAAGCATATTAAATAACCTTTTATATATAATACATCTGTTACTTGATTCTTTCTACTTCTTTTTTGATAATATTAATACTAATTCATCCAGTATTTTTTATACTATTAAATGAAATATCCGCTGTTTAATTTATTATATTATATCAGTTTGTTTGTATACGTGCTTTAAAGTCACGTACGACCTGTGTTCTAAAAATCTGACGTTAGCTATATTAAGGGGTGGTGCCGAATGAATCATATTCTATTACTCGTAGGATAATATATAACAGCATGTCAAATAAGAGGCGGTCAAATTGTATCAACTGGGATAGCAATAATAAAGCATTCCATACCTGTAGATACCAAATGCAAAATTGCTCGTTTGATAAAAGTGATGTTTATAAAAGTTCTGGTTAATGTACCTACAAATCGTCACCATCGCTACGCAGTTATTCCGTGTGAATAGCGCCAGACACTAATATTATAAGGAACATTTTATATACCAGGCTGCAATTGCCAATTGGGAAACTTTCACACAGACTGCTACAACCGATTTCATGTTTTATACAGAATGAAATACGTCTTTGATCAGAAAAAAGATTAGTTTGGAAATATCTCCCTGGGATACGTTATCGTATTATATTACATGTACTGTAATTACGCTGCTCAACGTGCAGTTTTACAGTCATGAACAATATTACAGTGCACTGTACTTCGTCAATCGAATAGTGTATTCCTACATCTAAGCGAAACATGCACTATATTTTATTTTATTTCCTTGCAATCATAGGACAATAAAAACTTACTTAAACACAGCAAACAGTTATTGGTACCGTTGTACTGTCAAAATAATTATCGATCTGCATCGAATAGCAGTTTTATCGATTGGTATCGATTGGTATTTTAGAATATTGGACCTGATGCAGTGTATTGCATCCAGAGTAGTATGTGGAATTTTATAAATAATGCCACGTTACCACACGTAATCATGTGTTTAAGCATAATTATGTTCTCAATGTGTTTTCTTATGATTTATTGGAGCTACAAATAAAATCTTTAAATGTCAAGAATATTTTTATTAAATTATTATACAGAAACAACCCAGTGTTTAATGGAAAATAAATAAACGACAAAATGTGACAATGCCATTTAAAGGTAAATTAAATTAAGAAAAAACAGAATCAAATTATTGTCGCTTAAATTAAACAATCAGTTCCTAAATCTTCTTACGTGAAAGTCTAGTGATGTGATACGTATAAGTTCTACAAACAATCTCTTCTTACGTCATATCCAGGGGACAATCACATTAGACGTGAAATTGATAACAGGATGTAGCAGTAACGATGATGGTCCCTCTTTGTTAATGACAGAATCGATAAAAGGCATGACTATCAATACGTCTGGGGTGATCTGTGTGGTATAATTTATCAAATAATGGGCTGAAGCCAGTAGATTGAAAAAAAACGTAATAACAATAGCACCATCTCTTGATAATCTCTATACATATGTACCAAAGCGTCATTTTCTTTCTGGATAATCACATCTCGTATTCAGTGATCAGTGATTCGGGTTGAATTAATTTAGTGAGTTTGTCGTTATCTGATGCGATATTTGATTCAATCGTGTCGACATAATGCCTCATGCCATTTCTATAATAGTTCTTTCTCTGCTGTCCAGAAGGGAAAGATTATCTTCCTCTCTCAATCTTTGACAATTTACACGTAATCTCTAAGATCAGTAATATCACTGAAAATAAATTGCCTACTTAAATAAATCTATAAAAAGACGATCAACGTGCAACCTTTCTGAATAATAGAAACCTTTTCCGGTTGCGCAAGTTGAATATTATTTTAATTAACCGACAATTTCATATTGAGCGAACCACATTGAGTGGTGGTAGTGCTATGGGGACAACATAAATTGTGATTACAGTACGTCCCTGCATTGAAATTGTCATAATAGAGCGGTAAGCGAATCAAAAAGGTTGTGTGTTTTGAGTGGGACAGTCCATACTGCAGTATAATAATACTATATTAAACTATAATAACGTAGGTTCATTATAACCCATACCACCAAATACGCATCTGTGCGTGATTAACGGACGTCCTCGGGACAATTTCTTTTACCTCCGCCGTCAAATCAAAATCTATGTTGCAGAACAACAAAATGAATATAATTCTTTGCACGTAGATATGAATAGAAACATACAATGTCATGAACATTGGTGAAGCGAAAATATCATTCAGGTATATTTCTACGGCTTTTATGTTTTAATTGATGTAATCAATGACACATACACAAAATACAGCCCTGATATAGTATATATATAGGAAACTTACCGATCATGTGATCAATTATTTGCCAACATCCTGTTGCTATGACAACGTGTCGAATTAAAAATGCATGTAGAATATTACGCGTGGCGCATTGTTAAGCAAGTTAAATTATCACTCCTTTGAGCACCGGGCTTGTCCTCTAGTCTTTGTTACGTGGATGAAAACCTCCATGTAAAAAAGACATATGATAGTATATTACTTACACGTTTCTGTCGCCACTGCCATTCGGATGACATACTGTTTGTAAGTTTGATGAATAAAAATGAGCTGACTGTATGTAACCTGATCGATGTCGAGCGCTCATAATACTGCATCATTTTTTCATCATTCACAAGGTTTTTAGTTTAATCTCTGTTTGCATTTGTTTGAAATACGATCCTAAGTAAGCGGGGAAAACAAACGTGATGTACTCAACTTCAATCGATGGGGTCAATAAAGGCTTCAATATTTGAAACTATGAGGCCATGTTGGGTCATTTGTGAGACATGAAAGCTTTACCGTCAATACTAAATCATCGTTCACGCCGATATATTTCGTCTAGATGTTTGCACATCGAAATACTAATACTAATATGTAGATTATTCATCCGTCTATTTGTCATCCACAAAGAGTGAACAACGCTAGCAACATCTAACTAAAGTGCATTATTATAGAATGGGTTTAACTGATACGGTAGATGGGAAATGTGTACGCCACCAGGGGAATTAAGCTGTGTATTTATTTTTCTATTTACTATTTCTATTTATTTAAAATAGAAAACGGTGTTTTTTTATTCAATTTGATGACGTATGTTTCGATTTTGCGACTAAATCAACTGAAAAGTTGTAGTTTCACAGCGTTTGTTGTACGCTATACAGTTCCTTATTGCCGGTAAATTGTCGTGATTTCACTTTAAGCCAGCCATCTAGGAAGTTTAAAGGAAGTTCGTATTGTCGTTACCTTGATATTCATACGCGTAGTGTGTTACAGTCAGTGATGCATGTAGAATACAAGTGGTGTGTGGTGTACTGATGCGATAAATCCAATCACAGTATGTGTATTTATCAGGTTTCGAGTATATGTGAATATTTAGGTTTTATATTCTTCTGAAGTTTACTTAACCAAAGTCAACTTTTACAAAATATACACCCACATAATGTTTCCCATTTTAAAAATAAAATGTTGATCAAAAGATGTAGGTGGTAGAAAATTACGTACATTTTGTCTCAAATTAACGTAGAATGTAGAAATCTACATAAACATAAGAGGG